CACCGCTCCTTTTAAGCCTGCATGATCTACGGGCCTTTAAGGTCCATTTTGCATCTCCCCTAGACCCCTTCTCACAGGTGCAGCTCAGGCCCGGGCTGGCCACTGTGATGAGGTGCGGAAGGGACCTCTTGCCATCACAGTCAGTGGCTTCACCCTCGGTGGGGCTGAAGGCCACCTGAAGGCCACACTTTCTATGGTCCCTCAGCTGGGTAACCAAGTAGACAGCAGAGACCAGAGGTCAGTGGGGAGAAGCAGCAGCCTGTGCCTCCTCCCATGCAGGGCCAAGGGCATGCAAGCACCCATAGGGCAGTGGTGAAGGCCACAGCTGGACACATGCCCAATGAGATGTCTCACCGATGCAGGCCAGACCACTGTTGCTTTCATCTCTGTGTATGAAGAAGTGTTTGAGTGCTGGGGAAAAGCCAGCACTTTTCACAGTGCAGTTAACAAGCATGGTTAACTCCATCCTTGTTTTCCCCTGTGCCGTGTGTATCATTGTTTTTATTAGTCGGGAAAGAAAGAGCCATCTCAGCTTGCCTCAGAGCAGTTTGACTTTAGAATTATAATGCATTATCTCATTTTGCACGTGCAAGCCTTTAGGAGAAGGTAACCTCTGGGCATGGATGCTGCCATGGCATCTGCCTGTGCGTGGGAGCCCTAACAAGAGCTGAGGCCAAGACATCTCTGGAGGAGGAGGAGAGTCCTTTAGCTCTGCTAAGCTGGAGTTTGCTTGAGTCTCTTTGCAGGATCAGAACGAGAGGGTGTGATTTACCTATCTTAAAGATAAAAGAGAAAAAAAATCGCTTAAATTACTTTAATCAAGGCCTTATTAAGAAAGTTACCATAATCATTATCATACTAAGAAAACTATTAATCTTTGTCCATGCTTGCTTTTACTAAAGAAACATTATGGGGATCAGAGATTTGAGATTGCTGTGCAATGCAGGGATACTTGGGCCAGGTTCAAAAGTTCTTTTGGGTAGAAAGCACACATATATCACATAGTGAGACCTAACAGGGTAAGGTCATAACATTATGTGCCATAATGACTCTAAGAGCCTGAAAGAGCAGATTTGTTCAGGTCTGGCTTTCCTCTGCTTACCTTGGTTATCAGTGTGTGTGCACTGCTTCACAGGAGGTGAAGCAAAAGCAATGGATCCTGCTTCTTGGGAAAACTTTCTCCCAGAGAGGCTGCTTCCAGAATACAGGCTCAAAGATGAGTCATCTGTAGCTAGGCTTCTCCTAATGTAGGGTATGCAAGCCTTCAGTGTAGGTACTTCCCATCTAACATAGTGATCCCATGGTGCCTGCCCTGCCAATGACAGCCACAGCTCTCCCAAGTGAATGGTTTACAGGCAGAGGGCCTGATCCTGATGGCCAGCACCAGGGAACTATCTGCATCATATTTTTCTTACATTTAGGAAAAAAGCTCCTTTTCAGAAGAGGACTTAAGCTCACCCTTCAAACTTGTGGAAAGAATATTTTATTTCAAGAGTCAGAACTTCAGTGTGTGTGGACCATCACAGTTCCATCCATTTCAAGGGGATCCAACTCCCCATGGTTTGACTCAAGCTCTGAAAGCGTTGGCAGTCTTGTTTTTCAGTACATTAGTACCCTGCTTCTGAGAGATGCATGTAGTTCACACGTACATGTATAAATGCGCATTCTGTAGTTTCTCTAACTGTGCTAAAGTCAGTCACACGTTTGTGCTGAGACTTTGCACGTTGTGTGTGTTCAGCTCTCAGACGCATGAGTCTGTGCACGTTGCTCTGATTTAGCTGTCTGGCACTCCAACTTTGAGAGAAACACAACATCACTACGTGGAGTTGCACTTCTCTCACACGTGAGTGCTTTTGCCTCCTGCTTCCCTTCCAAGGGCACATGCGCATGCTGCTGGTAAGTCAAGTGCCAGGAGGGTTCTGTAACCATGTATGTGTTTTGAGAGCTCATGGATACACAGTTCTGCCATCTTCAGAAGCAAATTCATTTCTTATAAAGAGAAAGCTACAGGGAGAAAGTAAGTCTGCATAAGATGCTGACATGGGGCTCCTCAGATAGTGCTGAGCTGTATCTGTATCTGTTAACAAAGCAAGGCCAAGGTACAGGCTGAAGCGCTGGCCTCCAGTCATCCATGCTGTTTAATTCTTGGCAAACTTGTAGTAAAATTGTGGTTCAGACCAGATAATCTAACTGGTGAAGGACACGTGCCAGGGAGCATCCCCGGGCAGAGCGTCAAACAGCCTCCACTTGTTTTCACTCCCCCTGCTGCCACCCTAGGGACTTCTCACCTTTATGTACCCCTGTGCCTTCACGTTGCACCCCTGGAAATGCAACTTCACATATTAAAATCATCACAATGGTGCAGGGTAGCCTTTGCATTACTTCCCACAATCTGGGGGAATAATAAAAAAACCACATTAAGATATCTGAGGGCCATGAAAACATATTAAAATATCTTAAGGCCAATGGAACATGAGCTGGAGTTGGAGAAAATCTGTGGCCAAAAGAGCAAACCTGCCCAGGCATTTCCTATGCGTGTTTTACGTAGCAGTGTGGATGTCACTAAACTGTCCTACTTTGGACCATTTATACCAGCCACAGTTTTGTTCCATAATCAACACCAGGCTAATTTTTATAATTTTTAAATTTTTAATGTTATTTTTTTAGAAAGGGCAAATGTAGCCCCTTTTGTTGCTATATTGCATACTGGCTTTAAAATGTTTTCTGTCTTTTGTGTCTGAAAGCATTTGTATGCTTGCTAGGAGTTAGCTACGTGATTCATTTAGCAATGCTGTCTGCAGTGGCAGCACAGTTTTGCTGTTTACAGTTTACCGTTAGGTGCAGAGGGTCTGAAGTATGTAGAAATTTATACAGAGATTTTAAGTCTCTTCTGTTCTTCATGTGAATCAATTTGATTTTTTTGAATGCTACGGAGCCATTTTTAAAGAAAACCTGCCCTTTTTTCAGCCGGGAGGGAATTTTATAACTGGGGAGCCACCAGTCTGGAGAACATGCCTTTGGATGAAAAGTTACTTGATAATAGCTGTGCTATTTCCGAACATGATCCCTGCGCTATTGCATTTCTTACACAAAATCATGACCTATTTGGTGGTCGACACTAAGCCAAGCTAATTTTAAAACTGCTTGGCGTGATGGGGGACAATTTGGTTTCACTTTTTGAAAAATATGGTAGGTGATTTCTTTCCGGATGAGCAACTCTTCCTCCCAGTGACCTGTGCTTACGAGACCATAAGGCAAGAGGCTGAAGCCCTCATCTGTTTTTCCAAGAGATATGTGGATGAAGGTATTTAGGGATTTTTAAGCTGGGATTTTCAAGGTCATAGGATTTAGATACCAAGTGCTCATCAATGCAGAGAGGGAATAGATATCCGAGTGTTTTCAGCAACTCTGGAAATCTCTGTCTCCGTGGCAGCCCATTTGAGACTGGATGGCAAAGAGAGGGAGAGAGTGAGCCTTGCCTGGAGATTGCATAGAGCCTGGACCGAGATGCAGCACCTTGACGGGTGCCCAAAGGCTGCCCCTGGTACCCTCAATGAGGATCACATTTGTTCAGCCCCTGGCTGGACCTTGTGGGTTTTGCTGCCTCGAGAGGGCTGCTGCCTATGAGCACAAGGCTTCTGAGAAAAAACTGAGCAGCTCCCTACCCTGAAGAACATGAGCCCCTTCCTGGTGCCTGGGACGAGCTGCCTGCTTGCTTGCGCTGCCGTGCATTGATGGTCCCCAGGGTTTGAGTTGAGCTGCCCCATATCCACGAAGCAGGATGGCCATGGCCATGCAGGAGTCTGCCTGTGATAACCCAACTTCTCCCTGAGGGTAGATTGAAGTGTGAAAAGTGTTGGGTTGCAGAGGTTAAACTGGTAGAGGGGGAGCAAAGCAGCAAGCCCCCCTTGGCAGAAGAACTCGTCCCATCCACATCACGTGCCCTGGCGAGACCGGGATGCGCTGGTGCCAAAGGTGCGACTACAGAGGGATGCCGATACCTGACATCTCATTTATGGGGCACTCCAAATTTGTGGATCAAGATGAATCTTGCCCAGGAGACCGTTTCTGAGAAGTCAGCATCCTTGTTTGCGCAGTGTTATTTGAATGGATTTAGACCAGAAGACTAGAGACGGGTCTAGCTTAATTCAACAGCAACCCACGTGATCTGTGCAGCACTTTAATCTATTCCCTGTGCATACGATCTGAGATCTTTGAAAACAAAGAAAGCTGCTTCTGAAGCAATTGCTTTCAAGAACCTCCATTAAAATTTCACTGCTCATTGCACATAATTAACAGAGATCAGAAGAAAAGGTGCAAGATCCACTGGAATCGCTAGCAGCTTGTTGTTGTCTTGAACTTTTCCAGTCATTTTAAAATTAAATATATAACTCCCTTTGATGTAAATTGATTGAGAAGATGCTATAGGTAGAACTGTTAGCAGAGGGAGGTTTACTTTTCCGATTTGCAATTTTTACAGCTCAGCAAGTGAACAACTGCAATGTGCTATTTCTGCATGATCTGCTAATTGCAGTTTTCAGCCCCTTGCAATTAGGTGACTGAAAGAGCAGTAAGGCCAGGGCAGATTTCTACACACAGGTATTTTTAGGAAAGGCATTGATAGTGTAGAGGTAAATAATTGAAGTGGAAGTACATACTGCATACAATAGGCAATATATACTGCATGTATTTTATAAGCATTAGACATCTACTTTTCTATGGAGGATATTCATGGTTTCTAGGTAGGTATATCCTTGTTTACTTGCACATATGTCTGCATACACCATCAGATTTGCACTCAGAGTGTCAGTACCTCAGTACCTTTTGCCTTTTAAAATCTTACATCCTCTGGGACGGAGCTTGACAGTCATAATTGTGTGGTTAGCTTGATGGTGCTTGATGAAATCATAAGAATGGAGGAGAGTAAGGTGCTTAGGCAATGCTTAAGTTAATCTCATGCCTTCCCAGCAAGCTGAGCAGCATGCTAAGGAGCTATTCCCAACAGAGGAAGGAAAAGATGCGGTTCAAGATGGGAAGCGTCCTGCTGTCTCTTCTTTTCTGGTACAAAGGTATGCTCTTTGCCTCCTGAGAGGCACTTTCAGATGTCCCTTTTTTGTATTTCTTGTTTCATCCATGCTTCTTTCTTCTGCCAGGAGAGTGTGGGGTACAGAGCAAGCATTCTTATGCAAGCATAATAATTTGGGGAAATGAGAAATTGTGGAGGAGATGTGTAATTTATGTACATGAGTGAGCAGTGTTCTTAACAGCTCTGTGAATATTCAGCAGTAAAACTCCATTTCACAAAATAATTGCAGAGTAAAAGAATTGCCATATAATTTGTCAAAATACGAATTTGCAAAGAAAATTGTAGTGCAGCTGAGCCAGTGAGTAAATAATAATGCTGATTTGAAAAATGAGGTACAGTATAACATGAAAGACTGGTCCTTCATTAATCAAAACTCCTGATTAATCGAAAAAATGATCATTATCTCTAGCAGCAAGGCATCGCTGATGGTGATCTGCCTTTCTTTAAAGGCTCTTTCAGGTATTTTGGCCTGGAAAAGACTTCCGAAGGCACTTTAAGAATCAAAAGTAATCATAAGTCAAGGAAATGGGAAAAGCATTTATCAGTTTTAAGGCTTATTAAAATTTACTTTTCAGAAAAGCAGCAATGATAGCAGGTAAGCAGGAGACAGAAGAAGCTAGAAAAATCAGGGTCACGGTCTCCTTCCATTTTAATTAACCCAGCTGTGGAACAAGATCATTTTCTGGGTTGTGTTTGAACTTCTGGCTCCATTGAAGCCAATGGCAAAGCTGCCCTTATCTTAAATGAAGCCGAGGTTGCTCCTGCTCAGTGCTAGACGGTATCTACCAACATTATCATGTGAATAGATTAAGATCTATCACAGCGTGGGACAGACTTCTCCGGCTCTTCAGCTGAATTCCCGGTGTTTTGCTTTGCCAAGTTTTTTCTGCCCTTCTCTCTTTCCACTGAATATTTTACTCTACCGAATTTTGTGGATAGGAAAGTGTTCCTCAGCTAGCTGTGCCTGCGTTTCACCCTGTTATGCTCGCCTATACCCTGCTCTGTCTAATTAATAGGTCTTCCTTTTAATCTTCCAGCAAATATTTGTGTGTTCCCCTCATACCTTATCTCTTCACTCTCCTTTGTTTCATGTGGGAAGGTTACTCGTGCCTAAGCTTCTTGGAAGGCTGTTTCTACCCAGACTCCAGCGTTTTTTCCCCGATGGGTGGCGTAACTGTAATTAGTCCTTGGAATGAGTTCATACCTTGCTCTGAATCCGAGACACAGCTTGCTTTTAATAGACACCCACACATCGGGATATTTTTGGAGAGCCTGCAGTGAAAAATTACTTGGGGGCTCACTTTCCAGGCATCACTCCTTCAATAGTGAATTTATTTTCTTAATTTGCTGTTTTTCTCTGCCTTGTGGTTCGAGTGTCCTCTTCTGGATAAAGTGAGAGCGACGACCCCTTCCCTGGGTCCCCCTTCTTGCTCCTGCCTCTCCCACCAGGCAGAAGGTGCCGTTAGGTCAAGCCCTCTGAGCCACATGCGCCAATGCAGCGATAAGCTCCTTAGCTTATTTTCTCTGGCAGAGCAAGTGGCTTAGAGGAGCACCCCAGGCCCCCGCGCCTTGGCTGGCCTCGTGTTTGCTGGGGACACCACCACAACAGCGGCAGGAGCAGGAGCATATGGAGCAGCAGGCAGGCTCCTGCGACGAGAGGCACTGCAGCTGCCGGGCCCCCTCCATATGGTGAGGGGGAGCACGCCTGAGCCCGAATTGACGTGAATATGCTTTTAGCACATTGAATGTGACATGCCTGCTCCGCGTTACTCTACTCATGCTTGCTACACGTCTGGGAATAAGCACGTCTCGGCAGTTTAAAAGATCAGATTTCTGTTTGTTTCCCCCCCTCCCTCTGTTTTTTGCAGCTTTGAAAAAAAAAATACAAACGACAAAACCCACAACCAAAATCAAAGGCCCAAAGCCCACCTTTGGATCACAGTAAATAACATCTTTAGTGCTGCACTTTGGCATAATCCATACTTCTAATGAAATTACTATGCAGGCAATGTTCTGAGTAGCTCTAAGCAAGAAAGAACAAACGTGTCAATAGCATCAGAAAATGCCAAAAATTTTCAAAGGAACACTTTTGAAAAAAGATAATTATACATATCTTAAGAAGAAAAGGGGATTTTTTCAAAGTATTTAAGTTTTTTTCAAGTATTTTCACAATATTAAAAACGTGGAAACATTATGGAGACAGCAGGCATAAAAGAGAAATGAATATGGATTAAATAGGTATAATTGTCATTATTTGAGTATGTTTTTCATCACTTTCACATAAATACTGTTAAATATTAAATGAGACACAATACAAAGGAATGAAAATGGAAACCAAATAAAACCCATTTGAATACAGCAAATGAAATGGAAAGGAAAAAAACATCCCCACAAAAAAAGTGAGAAAGGCAGTAGCTGTGTTAAAGCACGAGAGAGGAGCTTAACATGAAGTGCGAGCCCTTCTCCTCTTCCTCCTTCTCTGGACACATTCAAAACCTGCCTGGACGTGTTCCTGTGTGACCTACTCTAGGTGACCCAGGTGATCTGGCAGGGAAATTGGACTGGATGATTTTTTGAGGTCCCCTCCAACCCCTGATATTCTGTGATTCTCTCTTCCACCAGCCCATTCTGGTGCTGCTCCTCTCGTCTTTAGTCCCCAGTTCTCACCAGCTGATGTGTGCTGGGGCCACAGTGCCCTCCTGGGGGACACCAGGGCCAAAATACCACCTACAGGGGAAACAGGCTGAGCATTCTGCCTGACATTAGGTGGTGAGAGCCCCCGAGGTGAACACCCTCCTTCTACTGTGCCAGCCTGGCTCCCAAAATGTTTTGGTGGATACAGATCTGCATATGCCCGGGTCATCTCCGCCTGCCGGCGTAGCTCCTGAGGGCCATTTAGAACCTGTACTTTTTAGAAATAAAGTGGCTGTTTGCAGGACACACTCCTGTGGAGCCTGCTTATCATGGCCCTGGAAAAAGCCCTGGGGGAACCAGGGCAACCATGAAAAGCAATTGGGGGAGGGGGCAATGCTCACCAAGGGGACCTGGGGACAGGGCAAGGCTGCAGCCAGGGTCACTGAGGCCATTGCCACTGGCAAGGGGGCAAGGAGGGATGGGGAAAACACTGCATGCGACAGTGGCTGGGGATGCGTCAGCTTCCCCAAATGCACCTTGCTACCGAGGCTAGTGCAGCCTGATGTGAGTCACCTCGCTTGCCTGGCACGATTTCCAGGCCTGGGATGTAAAAATAGCCTGGGTTAATAATACAGCAACCCACTAGTCAGCACCTGATTGGCACAGAGGTAGCACGATGCTTTTTTCAGCGTCTCGACCCTCTGTATTGCTTACAGACCACCTTACTCAACCCGGCTTCCTGATGCTCTCTAACGCAGTGCTCAAAGGAAATGAGGACTTGCAATGGCATGTCTCAGAAAAACATGATAAAACCCGTGCCATTCATTCCAGTCACCTCTTTCATTTCTCTGATGCCTTTTCTGGGGCTCCAGCCACATATTGGTGTTTTTCAAGCTGTTTTCCTTTTCCCTGCCCCGTGGCTCACACATGCAGAAGGGAAGCAGATGACTAGCTGTGCAGCAGGAACCACCTCACCAGGAAAGCACCGCATTCTAAAGGGAAGAGGAGAGAAAATAATTTTTCTCATCTTTTTGAGCTCTGCTAAACTGAGATGTTACTTGCAGAGATGAGAGGCAAGTTAACTGCTTTCCAGCTGAAGCTTCTAGGCCACTAAATCGTAAAGTCAATAAATAGTCATTAACATTTTCCACATACTTTGCCTGCAATGACCAGGTTTATGTGAACTTATTCCGGTAAATTGAGTGACTGACCTTTATTCTCTGTTATATTTTATTTCTCTGTTTTATTTTACAGTGTGCTTTCTCATGTTTGTACATCTGTCGTTAATTCTAGCTACACTAAAAATGGTGACTTGCTGTCGTGATACTATGGTCAGGACTATGATTTCTCAGAGTTGACCTTAAGTGTTCGGCCCTTGGCGGTGTTACTTCTGCCCATGCTTACCTACCTCCTTTCTTTCTCTTCAATCATGTGTTTAATGACCACAGCCTTTCCGAGACACACAGTTAGCTGTTCCTGTCATTAAATTTCCAGCAGCTGAGCCTCCTCACTACTGTTTGCCTTCTCCTTTCCCAGCTAGCCCCAAGTTGTGGCTGCTGCTTTATTCCACTTCCACCTCCGGAAACTTGTGTCCTCCCCATCCTGCCAGCCCAGCGCTGCCTCCACCAGCTCTTTTCCTTTTCCCTCAAATCCTGCTCAGCCGAGCATGGTTGTCCCAAGGCCCGTGCTCCAGCCTGGCCTCATCGTAATGGGCTCTCCGGCACAAAAGCATCTCCTGGTGCTTGCCCAAGCCCTCATCCCCAAGTCCTGCGTCACAAGGTGGCATTTGTGCTCTGTGGGGCGTTGGACACACTGTGCTGCAGGGCGCGATGGAGGGATGGAAAAGGCCTTATCGCCTGCCTCTCACAAACACGCACAGGTAATAATTTATTTCACTGAACTGATGGCTTGCTGAATGTCCTGGGGCACTGCAGATACAGTAAATAGGGCTCTTTTCTTTCTAACGTTTTGGGTTTTTTCAGCCCTGTATTTTTAAAACAACAGCCCCCGGCGGCTGTGCAGGACTTAGGACTCTCCCATGAATTGCGGTAACTCATTCTATCTGACCTACAATTACCAATTATCTTTGTAACCTTCCTTGAAGGCAAACATGCTCGCTATAAAAGCATGCTGCCCATTACATTTTTAGACTATTGGCAGCCAGCTTTCCTCTTCATTTCCTTTGTAGGACAGGGCCCGTCACAGCCATGAACACACCAATATATCAATTACTACATTTTCTGGCCGACTGCAAGCAAGGGCATCTTCTCCTCTCCTTTCCACCAAGGTCTGTGAGGCAGTGCTGCCCAGGCAGGATGTTTGGCCCATCCACAGGTCCCAAGCTAAACCTGTCAGTCCCCTGTGCCTCTGGATTCAGTGGCTGAACTGCTCATGGGAGCAAGCCCGTAGCAGTTAACTCCTTCTAGCTCAAAAAGGCAAAGTTGACCTCCTATTATTTCAGATAGGGGCAGCAAACCAGCTCCCCTGCCCTTGGTGCTGCCTTTGTAGTGCTGTGTCACAGAGCTGATCCAGCGACATATTGCATTGAAAAAACAGGGCTTTTGTTCTTGAAATTCACATCTCTGCTTGATCTGTGGTAATGAGCCCTGGCAGACAAGCCTAAAAGCTGCTCTTGTAGCTAAGGAGCGGGCATCACTGACTGGGTATAGCCACCTAAGGAATGCTGGGGCAAACAGGGCTGGAGGATTTATTTCTGGTGGTTGAGTTTGTGGTGCCACACACCCACCCAGCTGAAAACTATTCCTTTTTTTACTGTTGTTCCACTCACAGTTGTTGTGTTTCCAACTGCATGCATCAATGATGTGTCAAATTTTAATCTTGACTCTCAAATACCCAGGCAGAGACGGCATGGATATAGAGCAATATCCCTACATCAGCCTGCTAATTCACATCCCCTTAGCCTATCGCAGATACACAGTAAGCTCAAGAGTAGGCTTCAACATAATACAGTCACGCTGGGCAAATGGAGCCAATGCACATATAATCAAATCCTTTATCCCTATACAAAGTGTATTCATTTGCTAGTTTGTTTACCAGGTTTTCTCTGTAGCACCTAAAGGTACCTAGGGTGCTGCAGGGAAGCCAAGACAAGTATTTAGGCAGAGAAGCTTAGACACCTTTGCTTACACCTCTGCATGGCTCCACTTTCTCGTCAGGACGTTGCCAAGCCAAAGTGCATTTAACCACCATAAAGAAAATAGGAAACAACCCACATAAGTGATTTTTTTTAAAAAAAGTCTTTATAATTTTATTCTTTGCTGGGGTGTTTCTTTCAGGCTCAGTGTCACACCCAAGGAGCAGTTGCATATCAGCTATAAGCAGAGCTTTGTATATAGTTTACATTTCAGCTGATTGTAATTGCACAATGTTTGGGAGTCTTTTGAGATGAAGCTTGCTATAGAAATGCAAGATTTAAATTCCCAGCATTAGTTGGAGCTCAGCAAAATGACAGTGTATGAATGAATAAATCATAACTAGATTTCAGTTAATAATTCAGAGCCTAATTCATTTGGTGAAAAGATGATCTTTTCCTATTCACAAAACCTCTGTTTGGAGATGGTGGCTTTCTCATGGCTCCTATACACAGGTATTTACCTACTTGATACCTTGGTCCTTAGGGGCGTGCAAATTCCCGACCTGGGATTGAGAACATGATGTTTGACAGTTGACTTGTATTGATATCAGCAATTATAGGACTATTTTTTTTTTAAAAATAATTTATTTTCATAGTTGTCTGGGCACTGTTCTGCCATTCCAAATGCTATTAACACAGTCTGCTTTGGACTTCACTGCGAAGTGAGAGAGACCTTTCAGCAAGGAAAGAGCTCATAAAAAAGCCATTACTCAGTGACAGGCAGGAGATGAAACAGGTCAGATGTTATAAAGATAGTGGCTCTTCCTCTATGGTTGCAACAACTGGTTTTCTCTAGGAAAGAAAAAAAGGGAAGTTATATATTAGATGCATTGGGAAGACCTATTTACATTTTGTTTTCCTTCATCCCATTCAGAGGGAATGTTCTCAGGCCAAGCACCTCGTGATGTGTCCCATCTTCTCCAGTGAGAATTTGTGGTGGTGCCAGGCTGGGATTTCACCTTTGGAGTTCATCAGCTCACACATTGTAAGGACAAAATAAGAAAGGGAAACTAGAGCAGAAAAAATGAAAAAAAAGCATAAGGGTAAAAATGTCTATAAAGCAGAGGCTGAAGGGGCAGGCATGGGTTTCTTCTCAGGATATTTCAGGCATAAATGATCAGAAAGAGGAGATACCAAAAGCATCAAAAAGAAAAAGCAATGGAGGAGTAGTACCGACACAGGCACATACAGTGTCCTGTTCCTGTCCACTTACTCTCCCTTTCCTCTGGCAATCAGCTGGGGCAAACATGATAGATTCATCAGTCCTTCCTCGATTTATTTGTCCCCAGCTCAGGAGTAAATGTTCATTGCAATTCCTGACATTTGCTTGCAGTATCTTCGTTTCTGATGTCTGTCTCTCTTCTTCCCTCCACGCCCGCTGCCCCAGCTGTGATGGCCCTCTCCCCAGGAGAGGTAAGTCTCTCTTACTGGTTTGGCTTCTGGGTAAATGCTGGGGGTCTGGCACTGCCCAGCTCTGGAGCAGAAGGAGGGATGGCACATGAGCCTTCAAGCCCAGGCACATGCTCTGACCTCTGAATCCAAGGGGAAGTCACCCCATGTTTCATTCCAGGCCGGCATGAAAAAAGGGGCTGAGAA